TTCACACCCGCTCCCTGTGTAGCCTACTCAACTCAGTAGGTAAGGCGATGCTGATGAAACATACAAGAACACGTATTCCTTTGCTCAAAACTCTACAAGTTACTATTCTGTACAGGGTGAACATAGAAGTCAAAGTTGTTACCCTCTTCCCTGGATCTGCCCCTTGTTCCTTCCTCAGAGTCCTTTCCTGCTCCTCTCCTCCCTGTTCCATCCACATGGACATCCAGGCCTCCTGATGTTCTCTAATCATGTTGCCCACATTCCCGCCTTAGGGCCTTTTCTTTGCTGTGCTGGAAATGATCTTCCCCAAGATGTCCCATAACTCGCTCCCTCCCTTCCTAAGGTCTTCATTCCAGTGAGGCCTCCTCCACCACTCTGTAAGATCGCAGCTCCCTCCCTGCACTCCCTTTTTTGGCTTCTCTGTCTTACTTCTTTCCCTAACACTTACCACTATGCAATATATTACATGTTTCACTTGTTTATTTCCTGTTTCCCTCCACCCAAATGCAAGCTCCAGGAGGGTACAATGATCATGGACATGAGACCTGAGGGGGACTGCCATGAAATGCACCCTGGGGCTCTTCTCAGCACTGGAGCTCCAGAGGCTTCCTTCTGCCTGGCCTGGAAGGGTCCACAGAGGTCTAGGTGGTTACGGTAGCAATGGCAACCTTGGCTGAGGGAAAGTAAGAGGCCCCTTCCGGATTTCCCAGGTACACTATAAGCCCGAGAGAGAGCAGGCAGGAGGGGAGAGAGGGATAAGACAGGAAATGAGTGGGGGAAAAGGAGAGGAGTGGGAGGGGAATGCGGGCGGGGTGGGGAAGGAGAGAGAGACCTAGTAAAGACTGAGATGGAATTCACTAAAACCAGATGGAAAGAGGGCTTGGACTTATTTGAATTAAGGAAAATTTTTATTATGTGACATTTCCTACATACCTAAGTTTATGAAGCATAATTCATACTCACTACAACCGTTCTTATTACTTGAATAACAGAAAGAAATAAGTGGACAGAACACATCTTGCTTGGTGCCCGCCATGAAAACCGAATCTAGAGACAGAAATACAAGGGTGAGACCTCTCTCCCTCTCCTCCAACGTCTGATGTGGCACGCCATGCTTAATCGTCCTTTTCAGAATCTCCCCCGTGATTTCCTAATATGCATCTGAGTCACCTTCACTTCCTGGGTTCTCCCTCTTGGGTGGAAGCAGTGCGGCTAATGAGGAGAGGTTCAGCTCAGATTTGTCTGATGACCAGAAAAGCTGACTCTTGGATCCTCACTCTCCTGGTTGCACAAAGGTGTACCTGTTTTGTTTTGTTTTGTTTTTTTTCATCCTCCCTCACTCCAGCAGGAATTGCCCACAGAACCCCGTGTGGACACCAAGATGCCAAGACGCCAAGCCTCATTAGCCAACCCGGGCTGTTGGTTCCTCTGCCTGAGACTCAGGACCTCAGTGTTTCCCTGCAGCGCCGTGGCATGTGGAACTCCATGCAGCTTTTGAAATCTGGCGTCCTCACAGAACAGGGACAGCCTGTTCACTGAGGGGAAGAGCTGCTTGTTTGTTTCAGCTCTGGATGCCAGAAAATAAAAGGAAAAAAAAAAAAAAAGAAATCAACTGTTTGCCTATTTGGCTGGTATTCGGGCAGAAAATCTCTATTTTCCTCTCCCCCCACCCCCCCTTAGGGGTTAATCTCTTTTGCAGAGGGTCTGAGATGAAAAGATGTGTATTCTCTTACAACCTCTGGCCATTTTATTCCTGACACCTTGGGAGCCCTATTTCTGGTCACTTTACAAGCCTATCTGAAATTGACTTCACTTTCACAGCCATCAGTTTCAGTGATTTTGAAATGATCCAACTGATATTCGAAGGGAGAGGCAGATTATTTTAAATTCTGGGAAGAGGCTGTAGGGGTCCCATGATAAATTCCCTGGCTTTACAAGCAAATTAAAATCTCAGCTCTTTTTTTTTTTTTTTTAGACTCTTAGAGAATGAGATACCTTATCCTCTCTAAATACATCCCACTGTCAAATCATTGATTATGGCAGAAAAGTACTCAGTCAGCACAAGTTCTGGCGTTTACTTCATGTTTGCCTAACTTTCTAAAGTTAGCCACACATTTCCAGTGAATGGTGGATCCTAATCTAAACTGAAAAGCAGCCACAGGCAATTATCACCTTAAATAAGTGGGGGGAAATCAATACTTATTTCTTTTTCTGTGTTAATGGAAATGAAGAAGCCACCACGGCGTTGGCTGCTACAAAAAATACATATCCTTCGACTCTCTAAGTTCATATGATGGCCACGATTTAACAAGAATCACAAGTCAACAAGGAACACAGTCAGACTTCCAGAATACAAGCATTCATGCTCACGACGGTCTGAGGTGTTCACGACGGTCTTTGCCGGTACATGTCCCTATTCGTTTCTCTTCCCTGAGTCTGTCTGTGTTACTGCTTTATTAGGCGTCCTTCCTTGTAGCTTTCCACATCTAAGCTCCTCTATTACATCTTTATGTCAGGTTGGAAATCAGAGCTAAAAATAAGGCCAGAAAAACATGGATTGATGTTTACAATAAACATTTATTTCGCACCGACCTGCCCATACCAGGTACTGTGCTAGGGTTGCCAGGTGACGAAGATGAGGAGGATCAGGCTCTGCTCCCGAGGAGCTCGCAATCTGCAGGTGACGGAGGGTGGGGCAGGCAGGCAAAGGCACAGAAGCCCTGGGTCGGAAGAGATAGGGCTTCTTATTCGGAGGCTCGCACAGTGTGGAAACGGGGATTATGGGGTGAGTAATGGAGTCTACAAGAATCAGTGTGTGTGTGTGTGTGTGTGTGTGTGTGTGTGTGTGCGCGTGTGTCTTATGATAAGATTTCACCAAAGGGAAGATTTTCAAGCTGAGGCTTGGAATGTAGGTTTCTGTCAATAACTAGAGTTGGAAGAGGGTGGCATTTCAGCAAATGTCAAAACAGGCGGAAAACACATCCGACGAGGTATGTCATTATGTCATTTATGGAAAACTGCAAGTAGCTTTGGATGGGTGCAACAGAAGATCCAAAATGCATGATGGAAGGAGAAACTAGAAACACAACAGATGAAAAGAAACGGAAAGACTTTCCTTTAGCAGTGAAACCAGAAGGGGTTGGGTTAAGAAGGTCAATTAGATCTGACCGACAACAGCAGATTGTGCTGACATTGAGACCAAAATGCCAAATATTTGCAAGGCAAATCTCTAATCTGAAAAGAGATCTCAGCCTCCTTCCCTGAACTAAAAGAAGCTAGGAGATCTTATGGAATGGTGATAGTTCCCCAGCTGGACTCATTGTTTACAGGGACTGCCCCAGGCCCTGAACAAGTCATTCTAATGCATAAAGGAGTGCTTTCCTAAAAGAGAAAAGGCTCCTAGTTTGACCTGGAAAATGAGTCAGATAAACAAGACAGGCAGCTACCTAAAAACAGGTTTTGCTAATGTTAATTCTACATCCCCAACATCCTTCTTTTGACTCCATTATTGTCTTGACTGACAAAGGGACATTTTAGTACCATGACAAACATTTCAGTGACAGCCAACTTGTATCAGGCCATTTCAAAAGATGAAGAGAGGGCAGATGTTTACGTGGCATTGTCTTCATCACACAACCTATTCTTTGAGAGGGTATAATTCTTTAAAAGGCAGAGAGAACTTCAAACAACATGTTTAGCTGAGAGCGACTGAAAAATGGCAGGTCACCAGAGTCCAAAGTTAAGTGATTATGAATTTGATATTCCTATTTTGGATGGTCTTTTACTTGACTGGTTGCGTCTACAGATAGTAGAAAGTCCAAATGATTGGGCTGAACAGGTTAGAGCATCCACAGAAGGCAATGAAATGTCCCTGAAATACATGTAACTCACCCAGAGGAAGTTTAACATCTTTTTCAAGTCATGTGGTTTGAACCCAGGGCTGTCATTCTGGGGGAATATAAATTCATTATTTCTTAATTCCAGGTCTCCCTGGATGAAGTTCTGCTATGACCCTTAACCCACAGAACTCTTACTGATCTCATGGAACAGTTATGGGCTCAATGATGGAAATTTTCATGTCATGGTTACCCCAATGCATTTGAAGATGGTGCAATGATCAACAAAGATGCCAGTGATGACAATTGAACGTCCCTTTGCCTTCCCAGCCTCCTTCATATATTCTCAGGCATAGGATGACAAAGGGAAGTCCACGAGTCACATGAAGAAAGACTGTAGCCATGGGTACACGATCAGGAGCTTCTCTGTTTCTCTTCACCCCACGCTCCATGCCATCACCCCGCCTTACTTCCTCCTCATTCTTTGTTGCTCCTGTGAATTCCTCCGCCATCTTGCTCGCACAGTGTGGAAACACTAACCACTGTCTTCTGCCCAAAGTTCTGCTGCTGATGAATTCCAACTGAACCAATGTTCTACCCGTGTGTGACATGGAGTTTATGTTCTAATAGTTGCTGAATGAAATAATAACCCCCAAACCCTCCAAGGTAACAAGATTTTAGGGTAGTGTCTTTTTGAGTGAAATAATGCTTCCTTATGTAGGGTGAAAGGAGCAAGGGTTCTGGAATCACATGAGCCTGGTTTGCGCCACTCTGTGCCACTAACTGGATTTAGAACAAGGGCTTGGTTACTCTGAAATGCTGTTTCATTAACTATAAAAAAGGAAGATAATAATCCCTACCTTGAAAGGTTGCTGTGAGTATTAAGAGAGATAGTATGTATGAATGCCTAGCATGGTGCCCGGAACATACTGGGGCCGCAAGAAATGCTTATCTCCCTCCTCCCTGTCTTACGTGGGATTTTAGGATGATAAACAATAGGGAGTAACTAATCTCCGATGTGGCTAAAAGTCTAAGAAAGAGATAAACAACAGTCATAGGGAGAGATAGCGTTAGGAATATCTAAAGGAAACGAATGGTTTTTATGGTTAATTTTCTTGGTTGGGGTTTAAGAGAAGATTCAGGTTGTCCATTAATTATACTTACCAATTGGGTCTAATTGGCAACTACCCCAAAATGAATAAAACAAGCGGGAGTCAAGAGAGAAAAACGGCAGGCATCCTGTCAAAAAATAAAATCTTTGAAATTTCTACAACCCAATGGTTGAATACACATTTTATTATAGAAGACAGACTCACCCAATTTATAAACGTGTGCACACAATGGAAATCTAAGTTGCACATTCAGACTTTCACAACGTATCACCAGCCCTCTGCACCGGCTCTACCACGTCTCATTACTCTACCTGTTGGGTCCTTCAAACCAGTGTCTCCTAAGCTGGAGGAAGCATCCCTTGTGATTCTGCTTTAGCCTAGGTGACTGCTCTGGTGGTCAAAGGGTTAAAGGAGGCACGTGTGTCGAGTACTCCTAAGGATGCTTAGCCCTTGGTAAATCCTCAAGAAATGGCTTTGGCCGTTGTTATAGTGATTCTAATCACAATTATGAATTTGGCTCTGTGTTTTCCAAGACTGAGCAAAAACCAGATTGTCCCCTCTCTCCTTTTAAAGACACCTGTCTGTTTATTTTTGGAGCCATGTGTCCTGTTTTCAGGTGACTGGCTTACTTTTGACCTAAAAGGAATATTTTTCCCCCCATTGGCTAATGGACTTAACTTCTTTTCCTTTTAGAGAGAAATTGAAACGAATGCTAATATATCACTCAACATGCATATTATTTACTGAAAAAATACCATTTGTCACTCTTTTCTTTCTCTTATCACCAAGAAAATGACTAATTAGATACAGCCATATATACATTATCTATCCATATTGTGTATCTGCTGCTTCCTTCCTTCCTTCTATGTATGCGTGTATGTATCTATCTACAGAAAAAGTCACCAAAGCCATTTCATTATAATAGCTTCCTTACTAATTTGGCTGTATTATCCCAAACTGGGAGGTAAATTTAATTGTAATATCCTGCCTCTGGAGTTGTTAACTGACTGAAGAAGCTAGCTCGGGTTAAGATGATTCAGTATTTCATTTCAAATCTAGGCCTCAGAGGACAATCCCATGAACATCTGTTTCTGCTCCTCTGTTTCTTCCCTGGAAATGACATTTATGAAAGCCCCCACATCCTCAAGTTATGTCTTCTGGCCCCAGCTTCCTAGGATCAAGCCAGACTTCTAGAGCAGCCTCACTGGGGGCGGTGGCTGGGCAGAAGGGAGCTGGTCGGTGAGAGACACAGTAGGGTCTTACCCACTTTTATGGAATATTACTTGGTTCCTTATTGTCCACAACCTGGCTGAGCTGCCTTTTCGTGAGAATGTATCCAGTGGGCAGAACACAAAGAAGCACAAAATGTAAGGATAGGTTCCTCTGGATTCTTAAGAGTTTATAAAACAATAAGCCAAGAGTAACTACTGTGTATTTTCCAGAAAGTTACCAATTAGCATGTTCCTGAGAACACAGATTCAACTTGGGAACATACGCCTCCCCAGGCCGCTCTACCACTGTGCACAACAATTAGACCGCTGGCTAGGCACTCTGAGCAAAGCTGCAAACAGACAACAGCACAAGCCCTCCTGGAAATTTAGCGCAAGCATTTGGTTACAGAACCAAGCACACAACTGGCTGAGCTCTGTCTTTCCCGCAGAGTGAACAGCACCGTGGTATTTTCACTTTGTTTCTTCTTTCCTTCCAGATACCAAACTCTAACTAACAAGAGTTAAAATGACATTTTAGTGAAGATCAAACAGATTCGTTGAAGATTCGTTGCGTGATTGAGAACAGAAATGTCCAGCCACCTGGCATTGGCTGCCTGTGACTCCAACTATCTTGTTATTTCCTTGATCACCCTTCTGGGCATGATGGAAAAAGTGGTCTCAAGGAGGAAAATGGGGACATTAAAGGGCCAAGGAGTTTGCTTCCAATGAGGCTGATGCCCTAAGGACCCTGCTTTCACTCCTTGCTGGGATGCATGGAGAACCTTTCCTAATCTGGGTTCCCTGGTGTTGTGCTAAATAGAGTAAGAAAAGTACCTCCCAAACAAACACATTGACTATGCGGAGCAGCAGACTTGAAGTGTGGTGTTTTGAGCAGAGATCTGTGCCAGCTAATGCACGGAAGGAAAAGGGGCAGGATGTGTGACGGTTTCCAAGGGGGCTTTCCTACCTGGAAAATGAAGGTGATGAACTCCATGAAATATATATATATATATATATATATATATATATACACATATATATATACACATATATATACACACACACACACATATATATAAATATCTGTATAAATATATATAAATAAAAGTGTATATATATAGTTGTATATATAGTATATATATATAGTATATATATATGATAATAGTGTATATATATGATAATAGTGTACATATATGGTTATATAGAACCCATGAAATGAGCAGCTTTGTACCTGCCCCATCTGTACATCTCTATATATGTAATTATATCCCAGTTATCATATATTATTCTATAGTTCATCTTTATACCTGCATGGTAAGGAGTATCTAGAAAAGGAAAACAATGAAACATATGTATCTTTTCCTTATGATCTTATTTGTCTTCCTTAAAAAACTAACCACTAGGCTGTTTAAACAAAGTCTAAACAGACCTTGTTTAGATTTGCAGCTAAAATAATGCAACCGGATAGGCTAAACAAGTTAATGGGAGTAGAACAATTTCAGTTCCACCGCAGGCCAGGCACTCCGTTTCTGGATGTCTAAAGCTTTCACCCATGTGGCTTGCAAACCATCGCTCACATCCCACCCCTCAAAATCTTACTGAAAATACCTCTGCCGCATTCCACCGAGAAATACTCTTCCTCTGAACTCCTGTCGTAGTTCATGTCCTTAAAGGGCACGTAACTCTTGCTGCTCACGATAATGCAGCTCTTTGTGTCCCGAGCGGAAACAGCCCGGTGGTGGCGGCTCCGACGCAGGTGGACTTCTTGGCTCTGCCTCTTATGACCAGTGTGACGTCAGGGCGGTCGCTTGACCTCAGTTTTCTTTTTGGTCAGTGGGGATAATCAATGGGACTCACTTCCTAGGGTTGTCATTAGGGGTAAATCATGATGTCTTGCAACGTGCTTAGAGTAGCACTGAACGCTAGTTATTGTTCACCGGTTTGTAAAACCCTAGTTCTCCAAGTGCACAACTATGCCTTATTTGTCTTGCGAGTCCCGCGGTGCTCTGTATGTCACAGGTGCAGGCGCACAAGCCAATACTGGTAGAGCCACAGGAGCAACGTCGAAGGGAAATGTAACAGAGTGATCGCTATTTATTGTAAATGACAGACATCTGACGTTCCCATTTTGCTACATTTTGAAGAGCTGAAGAACTTTAAGTCCATGTTTTGGCTCCATAGGAAGCATCTTAAAGGGATGGTGGAATAAAGAATATAGTGGGAACCACTTTTCCTCGTGAGCGCCACCATCTCTAACATGAAATAGCTATGGAATGAGCTACGGGGTGACCCAGCTCCATCTCAGGGAGGAGGAGAAATGAATGAAGAGAAAATGAACAATTCCAGCTCTGCTGAACTAGACTCACAGTAGAGATATAAAAGTAGGACATTTTCAGGAGCCCCATTATACTAGGATGTCTGGCTATGGCTGAGGCCTGGGAATAAATTTAGGTTGTTTTGTCATTCACTAAGTCCCAACAGGGAAGATAATTTTGCTTCTGATTTCAGCTACTGTCAAATGTAGGCATCAAATCTGTTACATTGGTCTCATAATTAAAAAACAAATTGTCTCTTTGAGAGAGAATGAGAGAGAGAACGCACAAACGGGGGAGGGGCAGAGTAAGAGGGAGAAGCAGGCTCCCTGCTGAGCGGAAAGCCCAGTAGCGGGCTGGATGCCAGGACCCCCAGATCATGACCTGAGCTGAAGGCAGATGCTTAACAAACATCAGCCACCCAGGCAACCCAGTCACATAATTTTTATACACATCCTTTATATATGATTGAACATATTATTTTGTATGATGTGTCCTTAACCAGCCTCTTCTCTTAGATTTCCTGACTTGACTCTATACTCTTGGATGAAGCCTGGGATCACCGGCAGGTTGAGTAAGCAAGAGAAAACATGGGGAGCAGAGGTTGGCTCCTTACCCAGAGGTCAAGAATGATATATATACACTTGAGGGAGGAAGGTTCTGAGCTCATACATTACATGGATAGGCAGACTACTTCTAAAGGTTGTCTTCCTCCTTCCTTCTCTCCCCCTGTCCTTTCCTTCCTCCCTTCCGTCCTTCCTTCCCTCAACCTCTCCTTTTCTTCCTCCCTCCTTCCTTGTTTCCTTCCTTCCCTCCCTCCCTCGCTCTCCCTATTCCCTTCCTTTCCTTCTTTCATTCCTTGCACTACAGAAGCTGTATTTGCTCATTATAAAAACATTGAGAAGTACTTAAAAGGTATACAAGGAACACATCAGTTCTCATCTTACCTCCACCACCTCAGGTTTCACTCCCTAGAAGCTATGATTTTTTTTTAAAGATTTTATTTATTTATTTGACAGACAGAGATCACAAGTAGGCAGAGAGGCAGGCAGAGAGAGAGGGGGAAGCAGGCTCCCTGCTGAGCAGAGAGCCCGATGCAGGGCTCGATCCCAGGACCCTGGGATCATGACCTGAGCCAAAGGCAGAGGCTTTAACCTACTGAGCCACCCAGGTGCCCCAAGAAGCTATGATTGATAATTATTCACCTGTGTCCTTTCAGATACTTTATAAGTATGCACATATATTTAAAAAATTTTTATAAACATACATGTAATCATAAACACACAGTTGTACTGTTTCACAATAGGTTTTTTAACTTAAGAAAAAAATACCCTTGGATATCTTTCCATACGAACCCAAACAGAGTTCGTGCATTATTCATAACTTCAAAGTATTTTGCTATATGTTTACATAAAATTTAATTAGTCACTTACTCATGAATCTTTGGGTCAAAATACTATAAGAAATATGAATAGAATAAATTTGTAGAAGTAAAAATATATGGATAAGGGGTATGCACATTTAAAATTTAATAGAGGTAGCCAAATGATCTTCCAAATAAGATTCCCCACATTGGCACACACAAATAATGCCTATTTCTATAT